TGCCATATGGGCAGCAAAATTTACCTGCCTTCTGTAAATGGAAACTGGAACATCCACATCACAGCTTGTAATGTTAAAGGAAAAATGGAACCTATCTTTCTTGTGACCATGCAGCTTGAGATGGCCCATTAAGTTTCCATTCCTGGATGCACACTATCCATTACTAATCCCAATACCTGCTGGATGCATTACCACAGGCTCCCTACAGCTTGCAAAGTCCCCCTAACTGGATTATAAGCAGTGTGGACTCAGGGCCCTTCCACACAGCTATATAACACAGAATATCAAGGCAGAATAACCCACAATATCTGCTTTGAACTGGAATATCTGAGTCCACACTGCCATATATCAAAGGGCCCATAGAGGCAGGACCTTTATTGCGGGAACTCCCACATTTACCGAATTAATTCACTACAAACCAGGAAAACCCTGGTTTGCAGTGAATTACTTTAACAGTGGATTTATTCTGCACCTTCTTGGAAGGCGTGGGATAAATCCATTATTTCCTGTCTCTGGACTACAGTCCAGACACCATTCCCACAGTCTATCAGGCTAAATAAACCCGGTAAACTGTGGGAATACTCACCCCCTCCCCCCAAGCCCCCAGACCCTTTTGAAAAGTAAAAAGAACTTGCCAGGCCTGCAGTATAGCCTTGGAGCAGCTCTCCTGGTGCATACAAATGCCCCCCTCTCCTGAAACGTCATTTCTATGTGCCAGGAGAGCTGCTCCAAAGGTATACTGCACATCTGGTAAGTACTTTTTACTTTTCTAAGGGGTCTGGAGACTTGGGGGAGGGGTAGATAATTAAAAAGCAGTAAGGTAAAAACACTTTAAAGAAATAGGTAAATCCAATTAGGTAGGAAGATAAGCAGGAACAAAGTAGTCCAGGGTAATTGTCCAGCAAAGTCCATAAAAAACAAAGGCAAAAGTTCCCAAATAAAATGCAAGAAATCAGGAAACATGAACTCAAGGCATTAATATAAAAGCATAGATCAAAACTATGAAACAAAGGCACTTAAAACATGAATTTCCCAAACAAAGTTTCCATGAACAAGGACAAGATCTTGACTTGATTCCAAACGATGCTTCATCTGACTACATATCCTGTACTTGGGACTTTTATCTCCTTGTTAGCTATGTCTCTAGCACTTAGAAATTGGTTTCGCTTTAGCTTAGAATTTCTTATCTTTTTCTCTCGGAGCCTGGCAGACTACCAAAGCCACTGTTCGGCTCTCCTGTTTTGACCGATCTCCTCCCATCTATCTATTTGCTCATTAATTTCTACAGCTGGGCCAGGTGCCGAACTGTTTTCATGTTCCCTATCATGGGAACTCTCTGGTAACAACTCAGAACACACCATCATCCCCAAACCCCTCAGGGACATTCTCATGGGAAACTACACTTTGAACAGGGATCTCCTGGTCATTCTCTGCATCAGTATCACTGGCCAAACCATTGCCATCTTGAAACTCATCCTGCAACTCATTAACATCACTTCCCCCATCCAAAGCACCCTGATCCTGAAACACAATCATAGGCTGAGCTCCAACACCCCAGATAACCCAGTTCAAAGCAGATATTGCGGATTACCTGCCTTGATATTCTGGGTTACATGGCTGTGTGGAAGGGCCCACAGTGTCCTTTTCCCCCTACTGACCTCTTCTTCATTATTTTTTCCAAACAAAATCCAAGCCATTTGAAAAACATGTGGTTTCATTTCCAGTTTAACAGTGCTTCAGAGAGCACTTATGATGAACGCCCAGCACCAAAGCAAGAAAAAGAAAAAATCAGAATGTGTAATAGTGTGTTGCACACAATAGCATCAAAAGGAATTAATTATAAATTATGTGTTACAGTGAAACATGATTTGGGCCAAAAATCTTGGGATAGCCACGATGGAGGCAGTGGGTTCCCTGAGAAAAAACTGGTAGGAACAAACGGGGTCAACTATCCTTGCTTAAATATTTCTCTATAAACTCTCTCTCTCCATGCTATTTATTCAACCTAAACCAATCATGTAATTTAAAAAGTCCTATTTGCTAGGATAGTTCTTAAGAATAACTTTATTACTAACTCCCCAAAAGGACTAAAATATACTCTTCTTCCATCATGACCGCAAGTTTGACTGTGCTGTTCAGAATGAGTGAAGAATATAGTGCAGGCTAGCATCATGTTCTGCACCAAATCCAAATATAACCCAACAGACACATAATCACTTCCGTGGGGGTTCAATGACACCCTGATTTTACTACCTGTCTAAAAATGCAGAAACAGAGGATCGAATACCACTTTGAGGCCACAATATATAACCAGCAGTTATTCAGGGGTTGATGAGTCACAAGTTGTGTAAACGTGAACTACCACCATGTTTTTCTCTTTGAGTTTGAAGTTCATAGTGCAAGTTGACAAGATATAGTTGTGTCAATTTTCAATATTTTCTAATATAATTCCAACTTTTATTGGTTTTTGCAAAACTTTCCAGGCAATCACTCCAGAAAAGCCGTACCCACTTAGGCTGCCAATGGCAATACTCTCAAACTGGTGGGTTTTGCATGTGTCCACCAAACTCCACATACCTGATGAAGATAAATACAGTACCTTGCATACCTGCGGGACCAAAATCTTGCCTGGTGAGGAACACAGCATGATCGTGGTATTCCACATGTTCGGGATCTGAGCGCTGCTGAGAATGAGCCCATCGGCAGACCTGCTCCAAGCTTCGAGATGGATTCCCTCGTTCTATTAAACTGATTGACTACAGAAGGCAAAAGAAGGAAGGTTTAGTCATTGTGAAGGTGGAAAGGACTAGGCTTCAAATGGAAGATTGGGAAAGTCTCGTTCAGAATCCTATTCTTAGATTATAATGAATGCATCAGTTGAATGTTTCCCCATATCAACTGATGCTATGTATTGGCAATACATGTCCCAGAAGGCAGTACTGAAATCTCCTGAAAGCTACCCCCCTCCCCCCCCAAATTAATTTTTCATCAATAACATTCAAAATAGGTCAAAACTGCTGCAAAACACTATGGTTTTGCTACAAAACACATATGCCCACCACACATAAGGAAACCAAATGTGACGTAATACCACTTCTAGCTGTAACAGGCATGTTGGCATAGCTCACTGGAGTGAAGCGAGAGTGGAAAACAATTCCCAATTCCTCTGATTCTGCCCACTTTTGTTTATCTCATTCTTAACTACTTTTGTTAGCCTTTTCTCAAGGCTGGACACATTCCTTTGTCTCCCTGGAGGACTGTTAGCACAAAGCCTTGGGGTCTGCCTCATAAAAACACACAATTCAATAGGTGATGACACATACTTGCATAAGTGAAAAAAGGAGAATGCAAAATACGTTTGTCATATCTGAGAAACTACCCTCATTTGCAGGTGAGACATCCTCCTACATGAAGTGGAGCTGGACTTGGAAAATTTACATTTTGGACTACAACAAAAGTTGGCTAGCCATTACTTGCATAGTGGTTGTATGAATTATAGTTCTAAAATAAATCCTCCAATCTCCACCATCCAATCTCTACCATCATTCACAAAATCCTTCTCCAGTTTAATAACCCTGTATTTTCTCAGATGTATATATGTCCTCAATTCACCTATCAAAATACGGTGACATTCACCACTACCCACCCCCTGAATTTTATTGGGTTGAAGAATACTCCCCTAAGAAAACCCTATAAGAAGTGATTTGGTCAGTTCCCTCCTTTGAAATACAGCCTACAGTAGGGGTCCTCAAACTTTTTAACAGAGGGCCAGGTCACAGTCCCTCAAACTGTTGGAGGGCCAGATTATAATTTGGAAAAAAAATGAATGAA